TGCCTGAGCCCACGGGTTTGAGACCAGTCTGGGCAATATGGCTAGACCTCATCTTTACAATAAATCAAAAAATTAGTGGGGCATGGTGGCACACGCCTGTGGTTTCAGCTACTTGGAAGGCTGAGGTGGAAGGATCACCTGAGCCCAGCAGGTGGAGACTGCAGTGGCCATGAGCAGCGTACCACTGCACTCCAGCCTGAGCAAGAGAGTGAGACTGACTCAAAAAAAAAAAAAACCCCAAAAAACGCATGTGCATATACAGGATATGTTTGTTCAGGCTCAGTGTCTCTCAGGAAGGTAGCAGTGGTTGCCTCTAGCTAACGCAGTGGAAGAGATCCTTTTAGGCCTTTTTGTACTGTTAGAAAAGAATTTTCTATTATATTAACCTCTCAAAAACAAATTCACTGTTTAAACTGTTCACCACTGGAAGCAAAAATCAAAGAAATAAAACCAGTCCTCCAATATGTTTATCATGGGCCCTTCAATTGTCTTTCCTGCTGCCCCAGCATAAATCCTTCTTTTTATCTAAGCAGGTATCCTCACTGCTTTCTTTTGTGTGTGTAAACATGCACCGTTGCTTTCTAATAGAAGCACATCATGTTAACAACTGCCCTGACTCACACCATTTCTCCCTCTAGGATGCTAATCCTCCTGTGGTAGGCAGAGTGGTCCCTGGAAGATGTCCTTGTCCTAATACTAGAATCTGTGAATGTTAGGTTACATGGCAAAGGAGAATTAAGGTGGCTGTTGGCTGACTTGAAAACTGGGAAATGGGCTGGGCACGGTGCCTCATGCCTGTAATCCCAGCACTTTGGGAGGCCAAGGAGACAGGATTGCTTGAACCCAGGGGTTCAAGAACAGCCTGGGGCAACTTGGTGAGACCTCGTCTCTACAATAAATCAAAAAATTAGCTGGGCATAGTGGCACGTGCCTGGCTGTGAGCACGCCACTGCATTCCAGCCTGGCGTAACAGAGTGAGACTCCAACTCAAAAAAAAAAAAAAAGCCTGTCGCGGTGGCTCAAGCCTGTAATTCCAGCAATTTGGGAGGCCAAGGTGAGAGGATTGCCTGAGCCCAGGTTTGAGACCAGCCTGGGCATCTTGGTGAGACCTCATCTCTACAATAAATCAAAAAATTAGCCGGGCATGGTGGTGTGCACCTGTAGTTCCAGCTACTTGGAAGGCTAGGGTGGAAGGATCATCTGAGTCCAGCAGGTCAAGGCTGCAGTGGCTGTGATTGTGTCACTGCACTCTAGCCTGGGCGACAGAGTGAGACTCCGACTCAAAAAAAAAAAGAAAATAAGGAAATGATACTGATGATCTGAGTAGGCCCAATATAATCACAAGGATCCTTAAGAGTGGAATAGGGCCGGGCACAGTGACTCAAGCCTGTAATCCCAGCACTTTGGGAGGCCTTGGCAATAGGATTGCCTGAGCCCAGGGGTTCAAGACCAGCCTGGGTAACCTGGAGAGACCTCATCTCTACAACAAATCAAAAAATTAGTAGGGCATGTTGGTAAGTGCCTGTAGTTACAGTTACTTGGAAGGCTAAGGTGGAAGGATCGTTTGAGCCCAGTAGATCAAGGCTGTGGTAGCCATGAGCATGCTGCTGCACTCCAGCCTGCGTGACAGAGTGACACTCCAACTCAAAAAAAGAAAAAAAAAAGAGTGGGATAGGAGGATTGCTTGAGCCCAGGAGTCCTAGACCAGTCTAGCAACATAGTGAGCCCCTGTCACAATAAACAAACAAAAGGGTGGAACAGGGAGGCAGAAGATGGGAGTCAGAGAAGATGTAATGACAGAAGCAAGGTCAGAGTGATGGGATGTGATATGAGAACTCACTGGCTTTAAAGATGGAGGAAGAGGGCCATGAGCCAAGAAGTGTGAGCAGCCTCTAGAAGCAGGAAAAGGCAAGGAAAAAGATTCTTCTCTAGGGACTTCAGAAAGAAATGCAGCCATGCAGACACCTGGATTTAGCCCAGTGAGAACTGTGTCTGACTTTTTTTTTTTTTTTAAAAGACAGGGTTTTACTCTATTGCCCAGACTGGAGTGCAATGGCACAATTCGAGGTCACCACAGACTCGACTTCCTGGGCTCAAGTGATCCTTCTGCCTCAGCCTCTCAAGTAGAGGGGACTACAGGCATGTGCCACCACACTTGGTTAAGTTTTATATTTTTTGTAGAGATGAGGTCTCACTATGTTGCCCAGGCTGGTCTTGAACTCCTGGACTCTAGCAATTCTTCCACCTCAGCCTTCCAAAATGTTGGGATTACAGACGCGAGCCACTGTGCCTGGCCTGTCTAACTTCTAAACTAGAGAACTGTAAAATATTAAATTAAGCCACCATACTTGTGGTAATTTGTTAGAGTGGCAAATAGAAAACCGATATATGATCTGACACCTCCCCATCTTTGGGGGGCCCAGCTTAGGTCTTGCTTTTGCTCTTTTTTCTGTAGGTCAAAGTGAGTTTTTTCTCTTCTGAGTTCCTGTGGCACCTATTTCCCTGAATCACATGTTTAGTACTCAATAACTCACTCATTCAATAATTATGTAATGCCTGCCATGGGTCACGTCCTGTGCTAGACTCTGGGGATGATCTTCCTGAAAGGAGTTTACAATTGTGATTTTGTGTGTGTGTGTGTGTGGGTGGCATCCTTAGGACAAAGTCCAAATATCTCACACTCACAATGGGACCTAAGGACCCTGCAGATAGACTGCCACTGGCTTCACCTCCTACCAAGTATGACACCCACACTGTTTCTTTATGTCACCTTATTCCACATACCTTTGTCATTGCTCCCTCAGGTCATTCTACATGGCTCCTTCTGGTTGAACTTCTCTGTGCTACTCAGTAATTACCACAGATCTACTCCAGTGTTCTGAATTCACTCACATCCCATTGATGTGAGTGTGAAACCATTGATTCCAGTGTGAAGCTTTTGTCCACCTCTCAGACATGTGTCACTTCTTTCTCTGCACATCTATCAATTAGCTTTCTTGAGTCCAAGTTTAAGTTCTTTGGGGACTGTTTGGATAATCTTTTTTTTTTTTTTTTTTGAGTAGGAGTCTCTCTGTTGCTCAAGCTGGAGTACAGTGGCACATTAATGGCCACTGCAGCCTTGACCTGCCGGGATCAGGTGATCCTTCTGCCTCAGTCTTCCAAGTAGCTGGAATCACAGGCACGTGCCACCACGCCCAGCTAATTTTTGATTTATTGTAGATATGTGGTCTCGCCAAGTTGCCCCGGTTGGTCTTATTCATCTGCGCCTGGCTGCTTATTCATCTTTGTATCTGTACTCAGCATAGCACTGGACTTGAGACTAGTGGAAGGAATATAGCCTGGCTCCTTAGTTGGGGACCTTTGGCCAAACATCTCAATCCGGGTCTCTTTTTTTTTTTTTTGAGTTGGAGTCTCACTCCATCGCCCAGACTGGAGTGCAGTGGCTGCTCCCGGCCACCGCAGCCTCAACCTGCTAGGCTCTGGTGATCCTTCCACCTCAGCCTTCCAAGTAGCTGGAACTACAGGCGCGTGCTACCACGCCCGGCTAATTTTTTTTGATTTATTGTAGAGAGGAGGTCTCGCCAAGTTGCCCAGCCGAGTCTTGAACCCGCAGGCTCAGGCAATCCACTCACCTCAGCCTCCCAAAGCACGGGATTACAGGCTGAGCCACCATGCCCAGCTTCAATCTCGGTCTTAAACTCAGATATACTTTAACTTTCAGGGGCGCACATACTATGTGTTAAAATCTGAATTGATATTCAATTTTTTTAAAATGGGAGAATTCACATAAGGTCTAGTTTTTTTTTTTTTAAGTTGGAGTCTCACTCTGTCGCCCAAACTGGAGTACAGTGGCCGCTCCTGGTCACCGCAGCCTCGACCTGCTGGGCTCCAGCAATTCTTCCGCCTCAGCCTTGCTAGTAGCTGGAATTACAGCTCATTTTTAAATTTTTTGTAGAGACGAAGTCTCACAATGTTTCCCATGCTGGTTTCAAATCACTGACCTCAAGTGATCTTCCCACCCTGACCTACCAAAAGGCTGGGATAACAGGCTTGAGCCACTGTGCCTGGCCATTATTTTTCTAAAAGTAAAATTAAAAGTTAAACTTTGAGCCAGGCAGGGTGGTTAACAACTGTAACCCCAGCACTGTGGGAGGCAGAGGCGAGAGGATTGCCTGAGCCCACAGGTTCGAGACCAGCCTGGACAACTTGGCAAGACCTTGTCTCTATAATAAATTAAAAAATTAGCTGGCATGGTGATGGGCACCTGTAGTTCTAGCTACTTGGAAGGCTGAGGTGAAAGGATCACCTAAGCCCAGCAGGTCTAGGCTGCGGTAGCTGTGAGCATCCCACTGCACTACAGGTTGGAAGGAAGAGTGAGACTCCAACTCATAAAAAAAAAAAAAAAGTTGAACTTTCGAACCACTGGTCAGTTTCACCTGAGCCCTGAAGGCATTTGAGTTTTCAACTCCTGTCTTAATCTCTAAGCCTGTTTACTCATCTGTCAAATGGGAAAAATAACGTTTATCTACAATCCTGAAAAAGCCTGGCACAGGAAAAGTGTTTGAAAAACTGTTAACATCAGGAGTACAAGAATCATTTACAAGATGAATGAATGAACGAACTAACCAAAAAATGACCACGTTACTGCAAGAGGAGATTGATGAAGGAAATTATCGCCAAGGCGTTTTTAGTTTTTATCCGTTTGTGAGGGCCATACATGTGCTAAAAAAAGGGGGGGGGAGGGGCGGGGGAAATTGCAGTTATGAATTCTAGAAAAGCCTGTGAATGAGTGAAAGTGACGTGGGTGGTCAAAATGCGAAGCTGGTCTAGGGTTTGCTCTCTTTTCACTAGGCACACAGCAGGTACTCAATGATTGCCGGTTGAATGAATGGCTACGCCACAGAGAGCCAGGCCCAACTGCATCCCCTCCTCCTCTAGCAGCCCTCCCGAAGACCGTCCAGCCTCCTCCCTATCCCCGCCCCTCCCCGCCCTGCCCTTACAGGATGTCCTCGCGGATGGAGGTGCCATGGTTGAGGTTGTGGAAGCGGACGGAGACGCAGTCTCTGAGTATGAAGGAGCACCTGTTCTCCTTTTTGTAGGCGCTGAAGCACTCCTTGAAGTCCTCATAGGTCTTGAAGCAGCTGCCCAGCTCCATGGCCGCCCCGCAATCCACACTAAGAGGCTGGCTCCAACCAGGGTCGAAGATCACATCAGGGGTCAGATGTCACACTATGGGGGTTTAGTGGCTGGCGTGGGCCCAGGACACCTGAAGGGCCTGCCCCAGTTGGGTGGCCTATTACTGAGCTCAGGAGGAGCACTAAACCTGACAGGACCATAAGAGGAACGGGGGTCTTTACTATCTGACGGAGGGGAAAATGACAGTCAGTACTAATAATCCGGTCCTGAGGTTCCGCCCCCTCGCCGTCATATCCAATCACTCACGGGTTTCTCAGACTGGCACTCGTTTTCTCCAATTGCTAGAAAAAGATAGCCACACCTACCAGGAGACTGACAGGGGCCCTGACCAGTAGCAGTCCGCATCCCGCCTTCTCAAAGCAGGAAACTTCCGGGAAATAGTGCACTTTCCCGGAAGCATCCGGCTCCGTGTAGGTCTCTTGTGTCTGGTGGAGCCGGTGTGCCAGGCTGGTGGCGAGTGAACAAGATGTCGTCACCGTGTGTTCCAGAAGATGGGCAGGGCGGCGGCGGGCGAGGCGATCCCCCAGGGGACCTCCATAGCGTCCTGGTCACCAGCGTGCTCAACCTCGAGCCGCTGGACGAGGATCTCTACAGGTAGCCTGCAGCGCCTGGCCTGCATCCCTTCCCCTCGCCCCCCTCCTGATTTCGACTGCTGCCGCCCTGACGCCTCCACCTCCGGGACTAGGATGGCTCTGCTGGGATGTTCTGCCAGGATTAGGAAAGAACTTGTCCCTTGGCAGAGCTGTCCTCCCCGCCCCGGCTTCCTCCTTTTCCGTGCTGGGTCTGCGCAGCCCATCCCTAGGAGGTCCTGGCTATCTGGCCTGGGGGTTTCCCCCAGGCCAGATAAAAGTGGTGTCCTGAGACCCTCCTCGGCAGGCTACCTTAGCCTTCCCTGGAGAGCCAGACCAGGGAGGGCAGTGATTTGCCCAAGGGCACACAACTGATCAGGTTTATAACTTATAGGCAGCTCTTTGTATCTTCAGTATCCTTTTCCTTTCACAATACCCAACCCCAGCATCATTTGGTAAGTCTGGTAGATCATTACTCATCCTGAGGCTTGAGCTTGTTTCCTTCCCAGCATCACTTAAGTTCTTGACTGCAGCAGGAGTTTGTAATAACTTTGAGCTTCAAGGTTCCTACTGACTTTATTGGAAGCTATCTTACTTTGACCTCCCTGCCTTCCACTTATGGAATTTTAAGTAACTTTTTGGGGGCTATTTGTAATGGGTTGTTATGGAAAATGCAAGACAGCTGGGTGGTGGGAGACTGGGACACAAACCTTCAGCTTCTACTGGGCTCATGCATTGGGTGGGGGAAGCATTTTCATCTCTGGGGCCAGGCTGCAGTTTTCTTACCTGTAAACTGAAGGAGTTAGACTTGATACCCGAGGGCCCTTCCAGCTCTGAATCTAGGTTTTGGAGGAGTTGGGCTATTGTGGATGAGGGGTGTGAGTGGCAGGCCTTAATACAGTTCACTCTTAGCTGAGCTCTTTGGGGTTCATCTTGGTCCATTCAAACCTTGGGAAGCTTCTGTCTTACCCTGGGAAGGGAAGTGGAAGAAACCCTGGACTTGAAGTCAAAAGACCCAGATACTGCCCAGGATTGGCAATGTTTAAGCTGTATGACCTTGCTCAAGTCGCTTCCCATCTCTGATCCTATTCTTTTAGTGTAAAATAAAGAGGTTAGTTTGTTATCCTTAACCGAAGTCCACAGAAGGGTATTTGTGGTCAGGGCTGTGAAACTGTATGCAGAGTGATATAAGGACATTTGTGTGGGGAAAGGGTCCCTAACTTTTTCACTATATTCTCAAAAGGATCTTAAATCCTAGTAAGATTAAGAGATCATGCCCTAAAGACTCATTGAGTGTAGCAGAATTTGGCCCAATCCCCAAGTCTTTCCCTTTTTCCACCCCTCTCCCCACAGGGGAAGGCATTACTGGGTTCCTGCCACCAAGAGGCTGTTTGGGGGTCAGATCGTGGGCCAGGCCCTGGTAGCTGCAGCCAAGTCTGTGAGTGAAGACGTCCACGTGCACTCCCTGCACTGCTACTTTGTTCGGGCAGGTAAACCCCCCCACTTCCTGCCCCCAGCTCAGCCTTGGTGGCCCAGCAGCCACTTCTAGCCTTGGAGACGGACTGTAGAGAAAAGAAAGACAGAGAGAGAGACAAGGAGAAGCAGAAAGGGAGAGAGGGCGACGACTGCCCTAAGAGGTGCCTGGAGGAGGAACAAGGTTTGGGGCCAACAAAGAGTCTTGGACCACATGCCTGCTGAGACTCACTAGGCACTTGTCATCTGGCCTGTAATGACTCAAGACTTTGTTGCTTAACTGCTCCCTGTGGGTCTTTTGTTTTTCATTCTTTACACACCTAGAACCAAGCACTGTGTTAGATCCTCAGAGGGATGCTGTAACTCCTGCTGGGGGTTTGGAGGTAGGCAGCTCGGGTTGGAGAAGAGAATACCAGCCTGAGACTCAAGACATCTGGGCATGGTGGCTCACACCTGTAATCCCAGCACTTTGGGAGGCAGAGGTGAGAGGATTGCTCTAGCCCAGGAGTTCAAGATCAAGAGATCTAGGGTAGCCTAAGGCTGCGGGTTCCATACCCGCCTGGGCAACTTAGCGAGACCTCATCTCTACAATAAAATCAAAAAAATTAGCCAGGCGTGGTAGCACACGCCTGTAGTTCCAGCTACTTGAAAGACTGAGGCGGAAGGATCGCTGGAGCCCAGCGTGCCACTGCACTCCAGTCTGGGTGACAGAGTGAGACTCCAACTCAAAAAAAAAAAAAAGAGAGATCTAGGGTCTCCTCTGTTAGCTGATCATAAGGTAAATAAAAGCAAACAAGATCTAGGGCCTAGTTTCAGCTTTGCCAATAATTTGCCATGGGACCTTGAGTGAAGTTACCTCCCTGACCTGAGGCTTGATTTACTTCAGCTGTAAAATAAAATAAAATAAAATAGAGGAGGGGCGGAACCTAGGGGTATTTTAGTGGGATGATCTCTACAGCTGCTCATCAAAATACCCCTAGGTTCCCCCCCTATGAGTCTTTGCAGGTGAAGTATCTTATGCAGGGCCTGGCCTGTTGGTGTTTTTTTTTGTTTTGTTTTTTTTAGTCACGGTCTCGCTCTGTCACCCAGGCTGGAATGCAGTAGCATAATCATGGCTCACTGCAGCCTCGACCTCCTGGGCTCAAGTGATCCTCCCACTTAGCCTCCTGAATAGCTGGCACTACAAGTGTGTATCACCATGCCCTACTAGCTTGTTTTTCATAAATGATAGCTATCATTACTTTTTGATGATGAACTAATGGGGATAAGTAAAATTTGCATGATACAGAGCACAGTTGTGTACATTATCTTGTTTAGTCTTTAAAAGTAAGCTGGGCTCGGTGGCTCAGCCTGTAATCCTGCGCCTTTGGGAGGCTGAGATGAGTGGATTGCCTGGGCCCGCGGGTTCGAGACCCGCGTGGGCGGTGAGACCTCATCTCTACAATAAATAAAAAAAATCAGCTGGGCGTGGTAGCGCATGCCTGTAATTCCGGCTACTTGGAA